TCAGCATAACTAAGTTGAGATGGGAGAAGGTGCAATGTCTTGTAGACAGGTTTGAATCTAAGGTACCATGGATCAGCTATTTGATAATTTTATGCAGGCTGTCTAGTTTCTGCATCTCACAGTTTGGGCACAACAGGAGGTGACACTGTTAACTGTTACTCTTTCACTTACTTTTTCCCCCAGCTGAATGTAAACATATCATTACACACTTACACAACACTATATTTAGAGTTCATTTTTAACTATCTATTAGCTAGAATACTAGAGCTTTACTGAAATACCTGAAATGAACGTGGAAGAACTGTACTGCCCACTAAATTTCAGATGGGTTGTGTCAACCCTGTAATGTTTGTATCCATGGAATTTATTTCCGATACTTACTGCTCTCATTTGATAAAACTGAAGCTGAACTAAAGGAAAATCCTTCATGTGTCATTTCTATGTTGACAATACTTGGAAAATTTTTCCACAGTAGTTGACTGTAAGTTGTGCAGTAAGTGGGAACCCATTAGAGTCTGAAGTTCACTACCAGAAACATCAAGGAGCAGTATCAGAAAAAAATAATCTAGCTATATAACACTTCATTATATCCTTCTATGGTTTATGTAGTTCTGAAACTTTTTTGTGTGTACTGCATCTTTACACTTATAATAACTGTCTCTATGAACAGACAGCAGTATTTTGTTCTTAGAATTGCTGCAGTATGTTCAAAGGAGACCAATACATTGTGCTGTCAGTCACCTGGAGACTTTATGTTCTTAATCACAGTCCAATTGGCTGAATTATGATCATGCAATCAAATAGATCTCCATGTGGATAAAAGAAACACATAACAGCAATCGCCTTTAAGAAGTCAGCATCTATTAACAGTTACCGCATATCTGAGAATATCACAAATTTCCCCTATCCTTTGAATAAGAGGTACTATTGTGTTTGCAATAACAGTTGGCAAATGTTGACTATTCAATGGCGTCTGCTGTATTGCACTTTTCTGTTTATCATCAAGGAAATTTACATTTACAAAGTACATTATATATTATTGTTGATTCCTTCTTAAGGTGCAAAGATATTCTACATAACACTTGACTCTAGTCAGCAAGTATATTGGTATAGGCACTAAATTAATCTCTCATGTAATTCCACTGAACCAAAAGGAGTTATACCCTGGATAAATTAACTCTATATCTCTGAGATGCTTCTGTACAAGTATCAGACTTGAATTAGGTGAGCGGCAAACAACTGAGTATTTATATCTTTCATTTGTTTAGGTGTATACATTTTGAATCTTCTGCTCATGAAAGTCAGAGGCTAATGGTGCCGGTAAGAACCAAATCAGGGTTAATGGGGCAGCGTCTGTACTAGTTTCTTCATACACCTCTGTTCTGCCAATATACTTCAGTTCTGACCTATTATGTCCTCACAAAGTATGTCCAGTTGTCTAGTCTTGACTCCACTCAAGGAAGTGCTATATACACACCAGTCAGTACATTATCTATCATACGTACTTACTTATATGCCCTACTACCACAGTATCAGAATGCCTCACCAGCTTTAATGTGGGGAATTATTATCCCCATTTTACAGATGGGAAACTGAGGCCAAGAGGTCCAGATTTTAAAAAGTATTTATGTATTTAGCTGCAGATAGGTGCCTAGGTGCCTTTGAAAATCCCACAAGGTGCTTATCTGCTATTGAAATCAGTGCGTGTGAGGTGCCTAGGTGCTTTTGAAAACCCTGCTAGACACCTATCTGTATCTTTAGGTGCCTAAAAACCTTTGAAAATCTGGCCATAATGACTAAGATGACTAAGTCTCATTTTCCCAGGAGACTTAGGCTCCCAAGCAGCTAAGTCATTTTTGAAAATGGAACTAGGCTCCTAAATCATTTAGGTGACTCTGAAAATTGTGCCCATAGTGATCTGCCCAAGGTCTCACAGGAAGCCTGTGGCACAGCGAGGAATTGCCTCCCAAATCCCAGGCGAGCAGCCTAATGTCTGGCCAACCTTCCTCTTATTATCTCCAGCCCACCTTGAATCAAGTGCTCCTGGAAATCCACTGAGGAAGCTTGTTCATGTGAATTTCCTGTCAGATTTTGCACTGTTAGGGAGTTAGAATAGCTATCTTAATGTATGGGTGCAGAACCAAACCACAGAACCATGGGTCTCTACATCTCTGCTCAAAATCCTTCTACTTCCACACTCAGTTGATGGCTGTCTGACTTTCTACAGTCCCACTGTGAAAGCTGTCTCCATAGCTTGTTGTTTCCCCACCAGAGATGGATATCCTTTCCCTTTGAATGTAGACTGTTACATAAGTGTTCCATGTGGATTACTGTAGCTTACACGAGCTGCATATTTCAGCTGTCATGCTGAACTTTTGAAAGTGCATTATAAGAAACTATTCAGTCAGAGCCATGCACTTTAAAAGTATGCCTAGGAGCATTCACAGTTCAGGTGGATTAGAATATCAGAGCAAGGGCACTTCCTTTAAGATCAGCCAATGTGAGGAAAGAACTGGGCTGGGCACAGTTCATCGGAGAGTAGGTATATCATAGATGTGAATATCAGGCCTGAAGCACACTGTTGTGTAGTAGGGGATGGCAGGCTGGGAATAATGGAATGGGTCTGGGACATTTCATCCTGGAGAAGAGGACACTGAAGCTAGGAGGGTAGGTCCTGTGTGTTGTATGAGGTCCTGGCCATACACAGGAGGCATCTGCAGTAGAGTGTCGCTGATTATATATGATAATGGACATAGTATTATATGAGTATATATTCTCAGTCTCTGAGTACGGGTCAGTCGCTGCAGAGATTTGGGGGCATATGAATTAAGGTCTGAGTTCTGGTTTGGATTTTGTAAGTTTGGATTTCCTTAAGTGTCTCATTTCTATGGAACCTGACTCAAAACCTGGCTTTCTTTAGATTCACCAGCTCTGGTTCTGACTATCCTGAAAGCAGGGTGGGCTTTTGATTCCTGCAGAGCTATAGCTTCTATAAGGACTCCTCTGTTTATCATTGACATTCCTACAGGTACTGTCTCCAGAAACCTTCAAGAGTCCCCCATCAGCTGAAGCAGTTGTAAAGGCAATCCGAGTTACATGCCCACCAGAAAGTAGCAACATCAACCAACATGCAGAATTCAGTATTAAATGAGTTGTGAAAGATCCCTGCTGTAGACAACATATTGCAGGAGATGTGGCAACAGTACGATGATACATAATTCATCATTCAGCAGTGTAGCCATGTTGCTCTCCGAGAATAGTGCCAGTATGTAAAAAGACAAAAAAACAAAACAAAACAAAACAAAAAAGCTAGATTTAAAGCATAAAAGATTATAGATATACGTAGTCTCGTCATGCTGTGTAAACTGCTGAAACTTGCACATTGGTGATTACCTGTCTGATAATGGAATTCAGAACTAATACTAGGGGTGGTATGGAAATTCTATGGCCAATTTAGTCACTCAAGCAAGGCTAGAAATCTCCTGGTTAAGGCTGCAGTGGGAGATAACTTGCCACAAGATGAGCTGATTGGAACTCTGCTAAGTATATGCTTCAGTGAGTTCTGGAGCAGGCAAAAGCCCTGCCTGCATTCATAGGGAATACAAGCTGGGGAAGGCACTTGCCGAGCGTCGGAGATTTTTGGAATTTAAGAGCGGATTGCTCTTTTCTCCCACTTTCTCAGAGGTAGCTCTGGGAATCTTTGTTAAATGCCTAACGTCATGCACTGTGTTGTGGCACAGAGATGAGCAGAACACCACTGCTGAAAGACTGGCAGATGGCATCCTTCTCTGGCTGACTGCAGAGTTCAAAAAGAGTGAAATCTTCACCAATAAAAAAATAAAACCAGTCAGTGCTAGAAGCCTTGAAAAATGGGGTGGGGAGGGGGGAATATTTCCACCGGGTTTAATTAAAGGAAAGAGTTCCCACTAGCAGTGTGATGTTTAATAAGCACTCAGGAGCAGACTGGCTCAGCCCTCTTTTTAACTGAATAAGCAGGCAGCTCAATCTGAGTCTGCTCAGGCTTCAGTACAGCCTCCTCTGGTAACCATCTGAAGAGACCACAAAGAATCCTTCTCAGGAGCTCAGGCCTAGGCTGTATCTCCAATAGCACCTTGGAGCAGATGTTATTCTGGGGTGGGCCTGAGCTTTGAAGTTCCAAGCCAGATCTCATCAGCCATGCTGTTTAAGAGGTGTGTAGATCTGGGGTTTAATTATACGCCATCTCTGCACCCAATCTGAAAAGGATTCACATAGGTATGAGACCTTCATCTCTGAAATGGCATAACTCTGCCATAACGATCTCATGATCAATTCCTCTGTTCTTCTTTGATATACACCGCTACCTCGATATAACGCGACCCGATAGAACACGAATTCGGATATAACGTGGTAAAGCAGTGCTCCGGGGGGGTGGGAGGGGGGGAGGGGGGCTGCGCACTCAGGTGGATCAAAGCAAGTTCAATATAATGTGGCTTCACCTATAACGCGATATAGGGTAAAGCAATAAACCACTTGCTTTTTGATAGTTTGGTATGGAAATACCATGTTATACCCAGGGTGAGATCCAGAATAATGAGTAGTTGTGTCCCCCTGCCCTCTAATCTGGTGTGCCTTTTTCATTGCTTCACTGCTGTAACCACCAGTCCTGGTCTGCTCACCAACAGCCTCCAGTATGTGAGTTACTCCCAGCTGTGTCTGTGTGAGTTGCAGCCTACCAGACTCACATTGGCTTTTTATTGCAGGGTGATCCCAACACACTCCCAGACCTAGCTTTCCCCCCAAAAATGTATATTTTGTACTGCCCAGTCTTTTCCTGGACAATGCAAGCTTATTTAATTTTTTTCATTTAATTATAAAAATGATAGGCACACTATTGCTGTCCCAAATAGAGTTTCCTAAACATTACAATTCAAACACACTGGCTTAGAGTTAGATAAAAAAATTAAACAAGTTTATTAATTAGAAAGAGAGAGATTTTAAGTGAACACAAGTAACGAGGCATAAAAGTCAGAATTGGTTACCAGAAAAATAAAGGTAAAACACAAGTAATGTCTAACTTAACAAATTAGGGCAAATTCAAAGCAAAGTCTCTCTCACCATATGTTTCAGTAGTTTTACTGGCTGAATTTCTTTCAGTCGGGATCCCTCCCCCAGTCCAATGCTGCTTCCTTTATTCTTCAGCTATTGTGAATGCCGTGGCCAGAGAGAAAGGGAGAAATCCTTTTGGGGTGTCTGGCCTTCCATTTTATAGTCTTCTCCCTCCTTTGAGAGGCATCTCCCACTGGGAACATGGTGACAATCAGAATGTGTGGATGCTATTTCTTTTCTAAGATGTAGATTTTTCACCCACGTTCCTTTTGCTGCTAATGAATAGCCACTTAGCAGGTGATGGCCCATTTCACCTTGACCTTTGTGTCAGCTTGCCCTTCCTCACTGAGGAACTGGTTTGGCTGCTCCCCAGGCTTGAAATATGTCTTAGAAACACCACACAATGGACTCTGATAACTTTACATACAATGTTGCCACACATATATTATCAGGACAATATGGACCTGTGAATTATGTGTTTTCAAATGATACCTTACAAGCCATACTTTGTACAAAGATTATTATAACGGTGCGCACGGGATGAATGCAGGCGTACAGCCCGTCACAGTGCGGCTGGGTGGTGAACCACAAAGTACAGGCCATGCAAAAGAATCGCAGCAATGTGCTCTCATCTTCAATGAGCTGTCTCTTTTGTGGTCAGACGTCCCATTGGCAGCGCAGAGGAGGAGCTGGCTCAGCTGCAGGTGGGTAAGGTGGGGACTGGTGACAGCTTAGGACTGTCAGTAGAAGCCCAAGCAGCTCCTCCACAGTCTTAAATCAGTCAGTGCTCCTCCCAAAACTCAAGAGACTCCACAGTCCTAGGCTGTATGCATTGCAAGGGCTGTAGGGGAACCACAAACAAGCCATGACTTTTACACGCTATCCCAGTAACCAACATTCAGCCCTGGTGCTCTTTTTGCATTTTGACAGCTAGCTCTGCAATTAATAATGCCAGAAACGTGAATGAAAAGTGGGAAAAGCACTGACATTGGGCTTCATAGAGTCCAAAGACTGGTTCTGTCAATGGATCCATGAGCAGTGCCAACAGCAAACAGTATTTGACTTCTGTGACCTAGCTAATTTTCCAACTGGCCTGGGACTTATCAGTTGTACACACATCCCTCTCTGTGCATCTGCACAGGATATGGGCACAAATCAAGGACAGGAATTCTTTCTGTTCCCTAAATATGCAGGTGTGTGCAATGACAAATGTCAGCTCTAAATTTACAGAAGTATTCATGATGCATACACACTCAGACAATCTGCCCTCTGCCAGCTGTCTGAAATGGTTTCCTTGCTGACAGAGGCATGGTAAGTACATTTTGTGGGCAGATCTGATGGAGGATTACTCTATAGCCGTCTCAAAAATGTGTAAAACATTTGTTTTGTTGTATCCTACAAAATATAGCCATGAACTTTAATTGAGTGGGGGCTTTGGGGGGGGGGGGGAAATCTATTGAACCTAAATATGGCTGAGGGAAAAGACACACGTATTTCGCTTATGCAGCCATCAGATGGACAATGAAAAGGAAGGCAATGATTAGTGGCTCAGAATTGTGCAGGCAAGTGCTCATCAGTGTTTACAGCACAGCGTAAACATGAGCTTTTCTCATCACCAAAGTAAAGTGAGAAACATGGAGAGACTACATCAGGTTTAAAAACACACAGAAGCCCATAAAACAGCCCAAAATATAATCCAACAAAGGAGAGCCATGACAAATGAGCAATCATAAGACACGATCAAATAGAAAAAAGGACATTCCTGAATTATCCTCACCTGATTCTATGTGGTTGCTTCTATATTTACTTTTAGGGTTTGGGGTTTTGTTATGGCTCTAATCCCACAAAACAGATACATCATCCTCCGTGATCTCTGATTAAGCACACGCCCATACACATGTGAGAACCCTGAACTAAAGTTGTAAAAGTAGATTTATTATATATTATAAATCAATATGTAGTTAGATATAATATTGAACACTGTATCATTGCATTTATATTTTTGTTAATAAATGTGTCAAGATGTAAGTATAGGAATGGGAATGGCCCCTTTTTAAATAGGGTGGGGCCCTTGATGGACTATGTTTTAGAAGGGGGATGTGAGCAGAACGTGTTGTGTTGGAGAGATCTGTTGGTGTGCAGCTCCAGAACAGGAAAGACCCCGCCTATGTGAAGCTCCTTAAAATGCTCAGGACGCTAGCAATATTAAAGCGATCCTTCAGGACAACAAAGCATCATCATTGAGGATCTAAACACAGCAAAATGGTGATGTGCTGCCGATGTTTTAACACTGGGGTTTCCCACAAAACACTTTTTCATTCAGGTGGTGATAACTGCACATGTGCCAGGGATGGGTTTGATCCCAGAGAGTGGGGAGGAAAGATTTTGGAATTTATGCCTTTATTTTCCCGCTATGACAAAAAAAACTTTCTTAGAACCATAGGCAAGCTAAGAGGCAACACAGCTTGGCAGAATTTACTTTCTAAGTGCACATTTCAGGAAAAGATTTTACTTTGATCCTGAGAAATATCCAGTGATATTTATGTTTAGCCCAGTGTTCGACTGTATGATTTGAATTGGAGGATGAGGGTGAAGACCCTGGATACCCCACAAATGCAGCTGTGACTGCAGCACAAGTAGGCATACCTGTGCTAGCTCTAATCTAGCTGGCGTGGGTAATAATGGTAGTGAGGACATAGCAGCATTGGCTTTGGCATGAGCCAGGTGCCCCAGTACAAGCCCAGTAGGGATTCTGTGTACATACTCAGGTTGCTGGCCTGCATTGGGGTTCCTGCCACTGTGTCTTCACTGCTATTGTTGCCTGTAGTAGCTAGATCAAAGCTAGCATAGATATGCCTACCCAAGCTGTGATCACACCTTCATTTGTGGTGTAGACATACCCCAAGTCAGATCCTCCTCCAGAAATATTTTTGAAAATAGTTTCCTTTGGTGCAGACCGGTTCATTCTAAAGTCAAGAAAAAGTTTGTCAGAATCATTTGGAGCCCTAGAGTGGTAACTCATCTCTAGAAGCATTTATTTAGATGCATCTAGATGGGGCGATTGCTATCTGAGGCAGGAAATCATCCCCATTTTGCTTTCAGTTTGGCAGAGGAATTATAACAAGGGGCTCCCAGCAGCCCTTGAAAGCCCCTCAAATATTTCATTGCAGACAAGGTAATATGTTCTGCAGCATTCCATCCTATTTACAGCTTTCTACAGACATGTAGGCATCATGCTGCAGCTCAAACTATGTAGCTGAAAAAGATAATTGGTAAATCAAATAGCAGTGTAAATCACTCCAACTCTATCCTGATCTCTCATTCCAGCAGGTGTTATCTTGAAATATTTTATTCTCCTTTTTACTCCTTAGATACATATAACCCAGCACCAACCTTGCTACATCACTACTTTCTCCTCAGTTCAGGAGCTGCCTCCCTGCCTGTAGCTTTAATTCCCCTGTGTATTATTCCTCCCTGCTACATGACTGAAACATTGCCTTCTTTTGCTCCCTTTTCCAATGCAGTTCTCTGAGTGGTTTTCTCCCCTATGAGTTCTCTTTTAAGGAACCATGCTCACCTCAGATTTTTGGACATCATTACATGCAGGGCTGTTAGCCCCTCAGCGTATGGAATTCCTTTTCAGGATCTCATGAGAGGATACATTCTGGACTGAATGGATCTCTGGCTGTGAATGATCAAAGCTGTTAGTTGCTGTTTATTTCTTCACCCCTTCATTTGACTCCTGGGAGGATGTTTCAGCAGACTTTCTAGAGACAGAAAAAAACAATATCCTATTAAACTAATGACCCTTGGTTGTATTGTCTACAAATGAATGCAGGCACAGACAAGTGCCCAGATTTCTGTGCCCAACAATCTTCTATGTGTTTCCTAATATAAAATATGTGTGCATAACATAATGAAGGATTGTGGTTATCTCCTTTACTGATAATTATTGTGCTCAAGCTATGACACTCCACTAACTGCTTTCTGATTATTAAGGGTATAATCAAAGTCCATGTCCTGATTTTCTGGTATAGGACTTTGGTTGCCCTCCATCTGTTCTTCTCATTCCATATTTCTCAGGAATTTCCTGTGAAGGACATAAAATCTTTTTGTTTTGTTTTTTTGTTTTACAAAACCAAAATTTGGGGCCAAATTTGACCTGAAAACATATCATTAGTAAATCAAGTTTTCTATACAGATTCCAACTCTTCCATTAGACAAAACATGATTACTTGATGTGCATGTGCTATGCTCATCATATTAGCCACATGAGGTCATTGTGTATTTGGTACTGTATGATTATTAATCACCCTGATCCCCAAACTAAGGCTTATTAGGTTGTACTTGCAGGAGTTTCAGTAGGAATAGTTCCAGAAGGGATGTCTTAACTGTTCGCTGAGCTCTGGCGTACTTCATTGAACATCCTTCTATTTTTCTTTAGGTCTTCATTGTCCTGCATTTATCTTTATTTAATTTTTACATCCAGAGGCCTCAGTCATGTATTTTCCTTATTGCCTCTTATTGCCTCAGACAGACTGGGTTGACCTCCAAATGACAAATATGCATTTTTCCTTTTGTAGAAGGAGGTACATGAGTACAGTTTTTTAGCCCTCAGAGTTTGGCTTCAGTCCTATGGCAGCCATTTCTCCATGGCTATATGGACAGGGCTGATGCCCCCTCTTTTGACATCAGTGTTGTCCATCTGCTGAGGGGTAGCAAATTCTGGGCCCTTCCAGTTTGCCTTCTCTTTGGAGGAGAAGACAGTGCTGCAAAGTCTGGGGATAGTGTAAGTGTAACATGTTTTATTTATACACGTACACCAGTCCTGGAATGAGATGGTCAAACAACATGCAGACAATCCCTTCTTCCAAGAATCTCAGCCCAATTCCAATGCCAGGTTCCCAGGGAGAAACTCTTGTCTCAAGAATGCACTCTAATCAGAGACCACGTAAGAGAACAAACCCTCCCGCTGTTCTCACAGCACCATCTCTCTTGAAAGCTGCCTCTGCACAAGACTTTGCCTAATACAAAGCTAACAACACCAGGACATCTCTTCCCAAGAGTCAAAACATGCTGGCATGCTAAGAAAAACAATTTGGAAGACTATGTGTTACAGCACCATCTGGTGGTGCCTATTATAGTTTTGAAAGTATATTGTTATTTAGTAAAAAGAAGAACAGGAGTACTTGTGGCACCTTAGAGACTAACAAATTTATTAGAGCATAAGCTTTCGTGGACTACAGCCCACTTCTTCGGATGCATATAGAATGGAACATATATTGAGGAGATATATATACACACATACAGAGAGCATAAACAGGTGGGAGTTGTCTTACAGACAGACATCATCTTCCTTTCCAAAATGAAAAACTCGTACAGATACAGACAGACATCATCTTCCTTTCCAAAAGACAAGTCCCACCTGTTTATGCTCTCTGTATGTGTGTATATATATCTCCTCAATATATGTTCCATTCTATATGCAAGACTAGAAGGGATGATTGTGACCATCTAGTCTGACCTCCTGTATAACATAGGTGACAGAACTTCCCCAAAATAATTTCTAGAGCACATCTTTTAGGAAAACATCCAATCTTGATTTAAAAATTGTCAGTGATATAGAATCCACCACGACCTGTGGTGATTTGTTCCACTGCTCACTATCAAAAATTTATGCCTCATTTGCAGTCTGAATTTGTTTAGCTTCCACTTCCAGCTGGTGGGACGTGTCATGCCGTTCTCTGCTAGATTGAAGAGCCTATCATTAAATATTTGTTCCCCGAGGAGATAGTTATAGACTATAATCAAGTAATCCTGTAATCTTGTCTTTGTTAAACTACCAGTAAATAAACTGAGCTCTTTGTCTTGATGAGTATAAGGTATATTTTCTAATCCTTTAATCATTCTCATGACTCTTCTCTGAACCCTCTCCAATTTATGAACATCTTTTGTAAATTTAGGACACCAAAACTGGACATGGTATTCCAGCAGCAGTTGCACCAATGCCAAATACAGAGATAAAATAAACTTTCTAATCCTACTCAATATTCCCGTTTATGCCTCCCGGAATTGCATTATCTCTTTTGGCCACAGCATCACGTTGGGAGGTTATTAGCCATGATTATCCACCATGACTCTCAAATCTTTTTCAGAGTCATGCCTTCTCAGGATAGAGTCCTGCATTTTGTAAGTACTACATTCTTTGCCCTGAGGTGTATACATTCACATTTATTCAAATTAAAATGCATATTGTTTGCTTTAGCCCAGTTTACCAAGAAATCCAGATTACTCTGAATCCGTGACCTGTCATCTTCTTTATTTACCCTCCCTCAATTTTTGCATCATCTGCAAATTTTATTGATGATGATTTTATGTTTTCATCCACATCATTGATAAAAAAAGTTAAATAGAATAATGCCAAGAACCTGTCCCTGTGGGTCCTCACTGGCAATATACCCTCTTGATGACAATTCCCATTATAGTTACATTTATAGACCTATAAATTAGCCAATTTTGAATCTATTTAATCTAGCTAATTTTATACTCCATGGGTTTTTTAAATCAAAATGTCATGTGGTACTAAATCAAATGCCTTACAGAAGTCTGCATATATTATGTCAATACTATTACCTTTATCAACCAAACTTGTAATCTCATCAAAAAAGATATCTAGTTAGTTTGATAGGATTTATTTTCCTAAACCCATATTGATTTGCATTAATTACATTATCCTCCTTTAATTCTTTATTAATCAAGACCTGTATCAGTCGCTCCATTATCTTGCCCAGAATCAATGTCAGGCTGACAGGCCTATAATTACCTAGATGTGACAGGTGTCACAGGTGTGGAGGTGTCCTGTTGGAGGCCTCATGGTCCTGCCTCACCCCATCCCAGAAAAAAGCAATAGAGAGGTCCTCCAAGCTGCCTAGAGCAACTGTGTGGAGCACAGTCAATGAGAGGGGCTGCAGGGAGCAGCCAATTGTGGCCCAGTAGGCTCATATAAAAGGAGCTGCAGGACCAGAGTGAGTTCAGTCTGCTTGCAGGAACGGGGGAAGCAAGTGGTGCTCCTGCCTGGCTGCAGGAGCTGAAGGGCTAGACAGAGTATCTGCTAGCAGGGCTGGCTGCAGGAGCTGCAAGGGACTTATCAGGTAGTTGCTGGGAATGACTCAGCAGGGAGTTGTGGTCAGTGAGTCCAAGAGGGGTGGGTCAGCAGGAAGGCTGGGGTCACTGGGGACTCAAATAAAGGCAAGGAGTTCCCAGGGAAGAAGCCCTCAGGGCACTGCTCAATTCCAGAGTAGGAGCCTTGCAACTTGGCCGGACCAAGTAAAGCTACCATGCTGGGTCCTGTTGGACTGTTTAAAGATTGAGTCCAGGCAGGGCTGCAGGACATTTTACCTTGTGTAACCTGGAAGGGATTGTTTGGTTAGCACAGGGATCCCCAACGCAGTGCCCGCAGACACCATGGTGCCTGCCGGGGCATCTAAGTGCACCTGCATACTGGCCGGCAGACGAGCATCCGCCGGCTAGCATTTCAGCAGCAACGCCTATTGACGTTGCCGCTTGTCGGATGTATTTCGGCGGATGCTCGTCCACCGCCACGGTCCTCCGTGGCTCGTCGTCTGGCGCCTGTCAGACGAAAAAGGTTGGGGACCACTGGGTTAGCACATGTACTGAGTGTGGCTTAGCTAGAGGGCTGAGTCACCAGAGACCACCCTGACAAGCGCAGCAGATGGCATAGGGCACCATGAGCAAATGAAAATGAGAAAAACTGCAGTCACACACACACGTGACCAGTGGGTGCTCGCGAGAGGTGAGTGCACCCCATTACACCAGGTCAACCTGGTTATCCTTTACAATAAATTGAAATGGAAAGAGTATTATCTTTACCAGATGATAAGACTATGTCATCTGTTTCTTCCCCAAACAGAACAGAAATATTTATTGAACATTTTTTCCTTTTCTGTATTATTGTTACTAGTTCTACCATTTTCATCTATTAATGGACTAATACCATAGCCAGGATTCTTTTTGTTTCTAATATATTTTAAAAACCTCCTTATTTCCCTTAAATCTGCTGGCCATAGATTTCTCCTTGTGTCTTTTGCCTTCCCTTATTAGTTTCCACAATTCCTAACTTCTGGTTTACATTCATTACTATCAGCTACCCCTTTCTTCCCTTTGCTTATATATACATATATGTTCTTAAATTATTCCTAATTATCAATCACAGTTTTCTGATTAAATTCTTCCTCTCAGATGAAGCCTTGGACAGCATTGATGAACACATTTTGTAGGAATGAATGGTTCACTTTATTCATATACTTAGTATATTGTGATGGGCATTAATTCCTTGTCACCGAAGTGTGTTATCTTCAGAAGTCACAGCATCCCAGCCCTATTTCTCCTCTTTAAAATATCTACATGAAACTACTAAGAGAGATGAGATGTCACAGACTTACCTGCCACAAAAGTACACCTCCCCCCAGGATAACCCAATACTAAGAAGAAATCAGCAGTTGGATGAAAGGTGGCTGGCCAGTAAACACATAAAAGGAAACAGGTAGGAGAGGAAAATCACTTTGAAGAACTTGCCAATACTAACCTTACAATCTCAGCATTCATGACCAATTTAAAGATTTCAGCTGCTCTTCAAGGGGAGCTGCAAGTATAGTTGAGCATATTGCCGAAATCCAGCCTGGATGAGACAAAGACATGGATAGCCATGGTGATGTGCACATCAGTTAGTACTGTTGACTGACATAAAGCTTTCTTCGGAGGGATGAGAAAGCGGCATCCACTACTTTCCCAGCCTTTGTTGACCAGGGAGTGAAACTAGCATTGAGAAGCAAACTAGAGTCCCCTGCGTGGCGGTGCAGAACACCAGCATTAAGCCAATTACAAGTCCTTTTTTGAAATCTGAGCTTCAGCTGGTTACTGTGAAATACAAGTTTTCACTACTATGTTTCTGGGAATAGTGAAATCTGTACAAGAAAGCACTTTTGTCCAGCTATATTTAGCTTTCTTGTGAGACTTCATTATGCATAGCACTGTGTGATACATGTCACGTGGAAATAATAGAGTAAAACACCATGCATGCTTTATGGAATCACATCCCTTGAAAATATGGAGTAAACAGCAAGTGTTATGACCAGTGTTAAGTTTCACCAAAAGCATGTGTTGGTGATCTAGCCAAAACTACTATTGTTTCAGTAAATACTCTAGTAAAACATGTAATAAAGTATAAAACACAGGTCATTATCCATTTATTGCAGACAATCTTTCATTCGCTTTTCAATATGAAAAATATGAGCATGGTTTAAGCATTATTGTTGATTCCTGCCAAATTAGGTTTTTAATCCTAGTATAAGGCTATTATTATTAAAGCAAAACATTCTTCCTCTCAGGTACAATACTGCTTTGTCTAACTTCAAATTATGTCTTAACGTACCAAATGACCAGTCAAATTTGTGCACCTCTGTTTTAACAGCCTCTCTTGGCACCATCCACTGTTTTTTTGAGTAGTGGGTTAATATACTTTGATTGGAATGGAAGAAAAATATATACTCTATGCTATTGTGGTCTACTGCATGGTATTTTGAATACAATGAAAGTGTTGTGTAATGATACCAGACAGTGCTGTCATGAAATGCCACTCAGCTGTTGGGCCTTGAATGTATCAATTTCCTCTCTCAAAACAAAGGGGAAAATGTATAACTGGAATATGCTAAAACACTCTTCCCCACCATTTACTGTTTGAGTTCACCATCAGCTATTTATAGGATGGATATCAGCAGTTGGTCCTATCATCCTTGCTATCATCCCCTGAAGAAACTGCTGAGAAAATTCTGCAGTTGGCCACCATTTTATATTTTAAACAGGAGATTTATTTTATTTGATACAGCAGCATACTTTGTGTGAGACACAAATTGTCTAATAGAGATGGACAAACCAGTTCAGATAAATTAAGAAAGGTACCAAACTCAACTCAATCGCCAGCTCAAATCCAGTTCTGTCATCCATTGATCATATGCTTTGATACAATCCAACATGATCATCTTTGGAAGATACTGAAGACATGGAGATTCCAAAGCATCTCATTAAACTCCTCACAGGTCTCTATCACCAACAATAGATCATGTTGCAAACAGCAATAGGGGACAATGAGTGGTTTTCCACTGAGCAGAGTGTGAGACAAGAGTCTCTTTAACATATACATAGAATTTATTACAAGACAAGCCTTGAAAGGCTTTGACAAAGTGCAAGGAGCTGGGATCTCCATTGGTGAACAACTTTTAACTGACCTCAGATATGCTAATGACATTATGCTGTTTGCTACAACCAACAGTGCAATGCAACACATTTTGGAGTATGTAAAAACTGTTAGTGAGGAATACAGACTAGTCCTGAATGTGACAAAGGCAAAATGCATATACGCTGACACAACTAACAAACAGGATGCAAGCAGACATCACAATTAATGGACAAGCTGTAGAGGCAGTAGGTGACTTTAATTCTCCGGGATCATATATATCCAACCAAGAAGGCTATTGCAAAAAAAAAAAAAATCTGAAGACTAGGGATGACTTGCTAATTTATGGCCTTCCCTAAGATACTGTAGAAATACCATGGCATCTCTAAATGTATGAAGTTGCGACTGGTGAAAAAGCCTAATTTTTTCTGTAGTCATTTATAGATGTGTATCATGGGAAGAGAGTGCTGCTGACCTGAAGAAAATTGAAGATTTTGAAACATGGTGCTGGTGAATATTCTTGGTATCTCCTGGACAGAAAAAAAAAGATGAATGCGTATGTTAGAAATATTAGTGGAGAGAAGCAGATCCTGATGCTAGAATTCAACATATGCGAAGTTATGTACTTTGGTCACATTAGGTGTAGACATGGAAATAATATTAAGGAAGTTATTATGGAAGGAATGGTGGAGGGTCATCATAGTGGTGGATGATCAGTGACGAGATGGACTGATGGTGTATGTTAGATTACTGGAGGTTCGGCTGCTGAGTTCTCAAAGGTAGTGATGGATTGTGAAGGCTTTTGAAAATTCTGCTATGTTGTCGCTGATATTCAGACATGGATAAATGGCTTGACTTTACCAAACTCTTGTCCCATGACACACAGGAATTCTGGTAAGAGACTGAATGTTTTTCCATGATATGGACCAGGGTTACAAAAAGTTATACCTCTTTCACATAGCAGAGGTCAATTTCAACTTAAAAATCAAATGCAGATAAAACATAATATCAACCAAAAAATAACATCTGCAAACTAAGGCAGCCAATTAATGACATCCACCCACCAACAGAAATAGCTAAGATAGAGGTTGGTATATTGGCCATCTGTCAGTAACTACAACAGTGGCTTTCTGATTCCACAGCTACTTGTTCTCAAAACAGTTCATTCTGGAGTGGCCTGTTCAGCAACTCACATCGATCCATTGCACTACCTAAAATCTCAGAAGATCTGGATGAGGCAGTGTATTTTGCATCATATTGCATGTGATTATGCTCCTAGGAAGATACGAACTGCAATACTGCATCAGATGCTTGGTGTATTTAGTTCAGTATCTTGTCTCTGTTAGTGACCAGAGCCAGGTACTTCAGAGCTAGATGCAAGGAACCCCACAATTGGCAGATGTCGGGTAATCTCCCTCCCCTTTCCCCTTAGATTCTCTTATTCTAATTCCTAGTAGTAGAGATTGGTTTACACCCTGAAACATGAGTTGTTTTTTTTACCCCGTCCAGTACTCTCTCTCTCTCTCTTTCTTTTTTTTTAAGCATTCACTATTTTAATATTCTGGATATTCTTGATATTCATAT